CCCCTCCCTCCCGTTGGCTCCTGACTCTTTCTGCAGCCGTTATACTGCTACTCCTTGGCTCTTGCTCGCTACTGTCTTTCAGTTACACCCCCTATCTTATGGTAGGTAACATATCACACCTAGCCTTCATAGATAATGGCGAAAAAATCTCGGAGGTCCCTGAGCAAGTAGGGCACGTTAAAGATCCATTGGTGGTCCAAAATCGATAAGCATAGACTTCGGTCGCCACCCAGACAAAATTCAAAATGTCCTACCAACTAATAATTGTTTAATGTGTCCCACGCGCTCATATGACCGTATGCAGAAGCCCATGCCGTAAAACACTTACCAAAAAAGAAAATGACATATTATGGTACTCTTGGACAGTGTGAAAAAAATAACCCCGCTATAGTGGAAGTAAGGAGTGGTTATTTGTACAGCTGATTGTCTTCGACAGATGGTGTTGTCTTGGGCAGTGTGAGAAGTGGTCGTTTGAAAAGGTGATTGTCATAGACAGTGTGAGAAGTAGTAATTTGTACAGGTGGCTGTCATGGACAGGAGGTTGTCTTCGACAGTGTGATAAGTCGTAATTAGCACAGGTGACTGCCTTGTAAAGGAGAATGTCTTGGATAGGATGTTGTTAGAGCAGGTTGGACTGTAGTTTCTCTTTTCACAGAACTATCTTCACAAGCCACCAGCTAGACGAGCTGGAGAAAGCGTTCAAAGAAGCTCACTATCCCGACGTGTTCGCCCGAGAGCTTCTTTCTGCTAAGACGGATCTTCCAGAAGACAGAATACAGGTACACAACGTTTAGACGGTAATATTGTGTGAAGCATCGTGGTGAAACCAGGCTCTCGTCACAATAATGCAATCTGAGAAACCTGCATTTTTCCGCCCTGAGGGCAATTTTTAAAACATCTATTTATTGTTTTACGGCTTAGCACCTTTCATGTTCACTTAAAACACATTTCCAGATTGACCTTTGTGGAAAAACGTTGATCAAAGGTACATACAAGTGAAATTTTGAAGCTTCCGAGGACACTCAAGCATTGGAAGTCTCAAACGTAGTCGCCCATTTATTTCTCACTAACTTTAACTCCGACACCAGGCAATACTCATCTTCTGCAATCGCAAATATCTTTATTGATATCAAGACAGATTGATTTTCTTTTTTTGCATCAAGGGCCAGACAAAAAAAATCAACAACAAAAAGCAAGACTTAAGATTATACTCATAACTCCATAACAATGCCTTTTAATTGACGAGCCCCTGATTCCGCCGTGCTTGAGAATACAGTCAAAAAAGTCCAAGACCGCTACCCATTTCCGAGGAGTAACGTGGTTGTCTTACACAGGTGGACGTCTTGAATATTGTCATTGCAGTATTGAAAAATCGCAAAGGGGGAAAAAGTGCGAAGAGGTCGTTGTCTTGATTGGACAGGTGGCCTTGGGAGCTGGTTTGGCTGTATAAAGTTGAACAATGAAATGTAAACTTGGCAAAATACAACGGTATGAGTATATTGTTTGTTTTTAAACAGATATAAAAAAATACCCGCTCGCAAAAAGAATGATTTTGATAGTTTTGATTAAACATCCTTGTATCTGCTTCCACTTGGGTTCAGGATACCTGTCGAATGAACATATTTTTAACAAAATGCTGATTGGTCCATTTTTCCTTTCCTGATACAACATTTTTGGAAAATTGTTTACG